CTCATTATTATTATTATATTGGCTGTTCTGGACAATCAACTTTCATTTCCAATGTGATTGGGTTCCTCTGGAAAAGATCCTAATTATAAGATCAGAAACCAAATAGTGTATCTTAAACAACTCAATGGGAATGGGGCAGAAAGTATTTCATCTACCAGTCTCTTCACAGAATCATGGAATATAAAAGTGGGTGCATGCCTAAAAGCAGTCTAGTTCTACCATTCCATTCAGCCTAATAATGGCTCTTAAAAGAAATCCAGGTACATAGCATCAGGAAAGAAAGTAGAGATGAGTCTCTTTATTATTGAGCATTTGCTGAGGATGGTGATTTGGAAAGGACTGAAATTTTAGCCTCTAGGTAATTTGTAGAATTTGTGCCCTCAGTGCTGAGTCCCAAGCATGAAGCCAAGGTTCATGTACTGATGGCATTCCAATGTAGAGCAGGACATGGGATAGGTGTCCCCATGTTATTTCTCTACATCTAGATCTAAGGGATGACTGTCAGTGCTGGGATGATACTGACATTGAATTGCAAATTTCAACACTATAAAAAGCAAAGGGTTGAGACCTTATTAAGTCAGAAAATGAAATTAGCACTAGCCATGTAAATGTGAGGTAGTAAATATCTGTGTTACCCTGGAAACCAGAACATAAAGGTAGCTAGGTAGTTTGGTGACAGTTTCCAGGGTAATTCCTCCCACCTCCAACATAAGAGCTTTCCTATTATGTTAACTCTTTCTCTACATGCCCACTGGACCTTCACTCGATGTTGCACTATCATCTCCCTCTCCCAAAAGATTCCCTGATTTCCCTAAGTAAGTGCCAGTGCCATTCTCCTAAGTACTATTGTCAAAAACCCTTAACGTTTATCAGGGAACTGAAGGGCCCCAAAAGTAATGTGTATCTCCAAACCTAAGAGGTAGAGTTTAGAAAAAATTAGACACATAAATCAGGAAATGATAGACTCTTCAACTGAAAATTAAAAAAAAATAAAAGCTCACAGTGGATGAAACTAGCTGTCTGTGACTCTTCCCCGAAGTGGCTTCTTGTAAATATAATTTGTAGATATACTGCAGATGAGATTAAGATGCTTCCCAATATCTCACCTGGGAGCTACCAACCTGGAATGTAATTCATGTAAGATGAGCTGTTACCTTGGCAACTGTGACATGTAATGAGGCTAGGAGGCAGTTAATATTGTAATGACAGAAGATTCTGGCAACTAGTTAGAGATGGTGGAAAAAGAACATTGGAGTGTCAGTGTTTATCCAGCATTGTTCAAGTAACAGGAACACTGATCTGGTAAAATGTGTTACAAATAACCCAGCCAAAGAGCTCCCTCAAAACCATTCAGCTCCATATATTCAAATTACAAATGATCGTTAGTTTGGTTTCACAGGTACATCAATAGTAGGTAGGTATAACCTTATACAGGAGATAAGAATATGTCAGTCACTAGATACTGTATTCCTCACTGGCATTTGGCTCGTAAGCCAGTCTCCTATTAATCTGCTTAGTGTAAATTAGTCCCTCAGAGTCTAAATCACTTCCACGGGAACTGATGAAATCTAGTTCTCAGTTCCATATACTAGACTATGGGAGCTTCACCAAGATTCATCAAGTCACTTTTTTCTCTGATATTTTAGGTGTTTTTCTCTCCCCCCTAATTTTCAATGTAATGACTGTCTATTGTATAAAAAATTAGAAAGTACAGAAATGGAAAAAAATTGCAAATGATCACCCCAAGCCTACTCTCTAGAAGCAACCACTGAAAACAGCTGGCATATTGCCTTCCAATGCATTTTTTTCTTTACAAATTTAAAATCATACTGAATGCACAATTTTTTACCCTGCCCTTTTCACTTAAGGTTGCCTTCTACACATATTTCTATGTCATTATAAACTTTTCAAAGACACAATTTTAAGTTAAAAAATTTTTTTAATTAATTTTTGGCTGCATTGGGTCTTTGTTGCTGTGTGCAGGCTTTTCTCTAGTTGCAGCCAGCGGGGTCTACTCTTCGTTGCGGTGCGTGGGCTTCTCATTGGGTGGCTTCTCTTGTTGCAGAGCACGGGCTCTAGGTGCATGGACTTCAGTAGTTGTGGCGGCACTCGGGCTCAGTAGTAGTTGTGGCTCGCGGGCTCTAGAGTGCAGGCTCAGTAGTTGCAGAGCACGGGCTTAGTTGCTCCGCGGGATCTTCCGGAGCAGGGCTCGAACTCATGTCCCCTGCATTGGCAGGCAGATTCTTAACCACTGAGCCACCAGGGAAGCCCTAAGTTAAAATTTTTATTGAAGTGTAACACATACAGAAAAGCACACATATGAAGAGTATAACAATGAATTTTCACAAAGTGAATACATCTTTATAACCAGCACCCAGATGAAGAAATAGAATCCTACCAGCACCTCAGAAGCCTCCTCATACCCCCTGCCAGCCACTCCCTGCACCAGAAAGGTAATGCCATCCTGACTTCTAACACCATACTATGAGCATAATTTTTAGTGTCTAATAGTCTATGGACAGACCATATTTTACATAACCATTCCCTATTTTTCTAATGTTGGACCTTGAAGATGGTTTCTTATTTTTAACTTTGAGAGCCTCTGGGCATATATCTTTGTTCACATCTCTATTTCTTTAGAATAGATGCCTAGACGTGGAATTTCTGGGGCAAATAGTATAAAAATTTTAAAGGCTCTGGATTCTAATTGCTTTCCAGGAAGTTTGTATCAATTTACAATCCCACCAGCAATGCATGAGAGCATCTGCCTCACTGTCCATGGTCTACTTTGAGGAATATCAGTACTTTTTAAAATCTTCATCAATTTTATAGATAAAATAGTATTATCTACTTGATATATAGTTTGCATGTTCTGTCATTATTAGTGAGGTAGAACAAAGCATTTTTTGACTAGTTATGTTTCTTTTCCTGCGAATTACCTCTCCATGTCTTTGCCAAGGTCTTTATTGTGGTCATTGGATTTTTCGTATCAGTTTATATAGCTCTTTATACAATAAAGAAAATGACCTTTTGCCATAGTCATATATATTTTTCTGTTTGTTTATGATTGAATTTAATTATATTTTTGTCATATAGAAGTTTGTCAGATTTATGTAGAAAATCTATGTATGTGGTGGTTTTTTCCCACTGCTAAAGTTCTCCTGCTTCCAAATTTCAGATGTATAATCATCTATATTTTATTCTAGGGCTTTTACGATTTGATTTTTTTTTGACCTTCAACTAATTCATCTGGAATTTGTGTTGATGCCTGGTAGTAGGGCTCAAATTTTCACGGGCATCACTGGGGTGCTTGTTAGAAACCCAGATATTCTTGGGCCCTACCCCTCTCGGATTTTGATTCTGTAAGTGTGGGGTGGGGCTCAGGAACCTGCACGTGTTACAATCACCCCAGATGATTACGTTGCACACGGGCCCCTGTGCACATTTTGAGAAACTCTTGCAAAGTGCAGTGTAGCCTGCCTTAGTACAGAGACTCAGCACCTCCCATCTGGATGACTATAGCAGTCTCCCTCAGCTTCCAAGTCACTACACCCTAAAATCCATCCTAAACACAGCTGCTAAAGTTCACTTCCAGAAACATCTCATGAAAAATTCTTCACTAGCTGCCTGTTGTTAAGGGAACTAGATCAAACCCCTCATCCCAGCACTACAACTCCAGGCCCTTCTTTTTTTTTTTCCTATTTAATAAAAATGTTTAATGCTGCCCAAAAGTATAAAAATACAGTATGAATGGCTCCAGGCCCTTTATCTTCCTGGACCTATTGATCTCCACTGACTTTGGCACCACAGTCCCTTCCAGCCGGGCCTGCCTCCTCCTGGGCCTTGAACATATATTTTGCTCATTCCTCTTTTCATGCTGCAGCCCCCACCTCCTCTCAGGTGATTAAAATTCTATGCATTAATTCAATTCTCATTCTCTTCCTTCCTTGACTACCAAGAATATCCTCTGCTTTTCTAGAATTACCAAAGCCCATGGTTGTGTATTCTGACTTTGTGAGCCTTGTCTTTCCATCAGGTCACATACTCTCGAGGGTGCAGGCTATGTCTATCCCTCATGGCCTCTAACACAGGCCTAGAGGCCTGGGAAGCACACCTGAAGAACACGGCTAATGCAACCAAATCAGCCCTAACTGCCAAGTGATTTTATTTGTTTATTTATTTTTCCAAGTGATTTAATACATGTTATTTCTGAGAGCTAATGAAATCTTTAGCCTCTCAGAAATCCTTTCTTTGGTCCAAAATGAGAATATTTGACAAATTTCTAGAGATTTCACTTTGTAGTGATTTGGTTTGCTGGTAACAAAGTTAAGCAAAGGTTATCTTGGTTTCGGCTCTTATTTAATTCAACAATATTTCTTATCACCTATGACATGTTCATTTATTGACTTTCCTGTTGACGAGTCTAACCTTTTCTATAATATGGGATATTTTACCCCTCTTACAAATGTAATGATTTCACTTGTAGAGAAGAACGTGGTTTATCAGATTAAATATATATAGAAATGTTAAGGCTAAGTAATTACATTATAGCTTCCTTAATCTCTTTTCTCTGGTCACCCCTCAGGGTTCTGCCTTCTCAAATGACAGACCTGCTTTATTTATTTATTTATTTATTTATTTTTTATTTTTTTAACATCTTTATTGGAGTATAATTGCTTTACAATGGTATGTTAGTTTCAGCTTCACAACAAAATGAATCAGTTATATATATACATATATTCCCATATCTCTTCCCGCTTGCGTCTCCCTCCCTCCCACCCTCCCTATCCCACCCCTCCAGGCGGTCACAAAGCACCGAGCTGACAGACCTGCTTTAAATGAGTTCGATTGGATGCTCAGAGCAGGTGAGGGTGGGGGTGAGCGAAGATATGCCCTTTTCCTTTCAGTAGACAAGGTGGGATTCAAATCAATTCAACAAATATTTATCGAGCTCCTATTGGGCACCTGGCTCTGGGCTAGGCACAACAAAAGATGCCAAGATGAGAAATTATAAAGGAGCAGAAGGGCATGGGAAGGAGAAGAAAGGGGAAGAAGAGGTGAGGAAAGGAGTAGAGCTGGCTTTCTGAATAAGAGGGGATTAAGAGGAGAGAAAGGGAGAAGAGACCCAAAAGCACACTCTCTGGCCTGGTTTCACTTGCTAGCCCAGTGCAGGCCTAGAAACCTGAAGCAGTGGTTTGCACTCCAATTTTGCTCAAGAGCCATTAGAGCAGTTAGGAAGGCCACAATCTGAGTCAAGCACTTACCTGCTCAAGTCTTTAGAATGGGAAGCAAAGATCTCTCTTCTTTTCTTTTTTTTAGTGGATTAAAAAATTTTTTTCATTAGGGTATAGTTGATGTATAATACTCTATTAGTTTCAGGTGTACAACATAGTGATTCAAAACGCTTATAGATTATACTCCATTTAAAGTTATTATAAAATATTGGGTGTATTCCCTGTGTTGTACAATATATCCTTGTAGTTTATTTATTTTACACATCGTATAAAGATCTTTTTTAAAAAAAGGTATATATGCACATGTGTGTGTATATACACACACAGTATATACAATTATTTTTGAATTATAATAGCTAACATTTATTGAGTGTGTGCTCACTCTGTTCTAAGCACTTTGCATGCATTAACTTCTTTAATCTTTATCAAAACCCAGTGAGGTAGGTACAATTGATACGGACATTTTTTCAGATGAGAAAAATGAGGCACTGAGCAATTAAGTAACTGGCCCAAATTCACACAGCTTATAAGTGGCAGATCTGTGCTTTGAACCTTGGTCAGGCTGACAATGTTTGCTGTTATGTGAGTTATTGGTCCTTGTTTAACTTAACTGCTGTACTCAATAGGGTTAATGCATTGCCTTGCACATAATAGGCATATTATGCTTTGAATAAATAACTGAAATGTTGCCTATAAAGTGTTTTCCATTTAAGCCCAATTACTATTAAGCATACAAATCGAGCGTCATAAAATGTAGATTCACTTTGCTGTAAATTTTATTCTGTTAAAGTAACAGAATAAAAACAATTTTTTTTACAGCACATACGTGTGCATCCTTCAATGCTGCGATTTGAGGAAGCCACCCCGCTCTTCCTCTCCCAATCTTCCAATCCATTATGGATCTGATGCCTGCAATTCTACCATTAGAAAACTATTCTTTTGGTTGTAGGCTACCCCTATAGAGGTAGCGCTGTTTACGCTACAGTAGTGAGAATTTCTAAGTGATTTAGGAGATTTATCCAGATCCACCAATGGGAGGGTGAGGCGAGCAGGCAGGGGGCGGGGCCGCGCGGAGGGGTCGCTGGGAAGTGAAGGCGCCGGGCCTTAGCGCAACGAGTTCTTTGGCGGAAGATTTCTAGAGAAGCACCGGGACAAAGTCGGGGGGAAGGGCTCACGAGACAAGCTTCCAGGTGTCGGGCCAGCCAGCGCCCGGGGGAGCCCAGCGTCCCGTCGCGTCTGTTCCGGGAGTAGAGGCGCTGGGCGCACCAGGAAGTGACTCTCCCCAGCGGCTGCGATGTGGACCCTTAGCTGATTTTGTCGTTAACCGCCTCCGGTTTGTAAGAAGATTTATAGGTTACGAAGGTAAGAGGGGTACGTGGAGTGTCCGAAAACCCGATTTATCCCCTGCGGTAGAGAAAACTGTTTACTGCGCCAAGCTGCCTCCTGGGCGGGGAGTTGGGAAGGCCGGCGAGGTGGGGGAGGGGACGACCGGACGCTGGCTGCTTGTGGTCGCATCCAGCTCTGCTTCCGCCTGTGTTCTGACCTCCCCCTGTTCCCCTTGTCGGCTCTTCTGGCCCTGCAGCCCGCCCAAGTTCAGTGGTAGCCTTTCCTAGTGTCTCTTCCTCGTTACCCTTCTTACAAACACGGTGGGCAGAACTTGCCCAAAGAGGAGAGGGATGGAAGGGCTGGTGAAGGGGGTCTGGTGGGGGAAGGAAGGACCTGACTGCACGTGGGCTGCAGTCAGGACGCAGCAGTACCCATCTGTCCGTCTGGTTTAGCCAGGAACCATGTCTGGGGCCAGGCCAGCTGCAAGAAGGGTGAACGGAGAGTGTAAGCAGGATCCTTTTCCGTGGGTGAACATTTGCTCCAAGGAGATCCTTGGCTCTGTGAGGATTAAACCTACTACATAGTCTCTGCTTTGAACCTCTCTGAGCATTTCAGGCTGGTTAGCTATTCAGCCCTAGAGAGTTAGTATACCTTGCTCTCTGGCAGCTCTGGACCTTGGGTCTCTTTCTGATCAATTCCTGAGGCAGAAATAGAGCAGTTGTCACATTCTTTTTTTTTTTTTAACCCAAGCATTTATTTAAAACAGGAAACACTATAAAAACAAAATGTAACTCACTTTGAGTGGTATTACTATACTGCCTTGAAAACTATATTTCACTTGAGAAATTACTAAGTATGATGAGAGACTCTTTACCAGGAGAGATGTCTGGTTGGCACCCTGAAATAGTAGAGTCCTATTGTAGACTATATCTGACCATTTGGAGAAATGTAGAAGGACAAGGGGTACAGGGCAAGTGGAGCACAGTCATGGTGGCTAGTCACCAGGGAGAGGGCCCACACTCACAAAAAGTCTAAATATCATGGGATAGAGATAGCTGTACTCAAATTCCTCAGCTCCCCTGCCCCTCTGCCAACCCCCAGTGGGCCTGCAGTTTCCTTCTTCCTTCCCTGCCAGCTGGAGGGACAGGGCCCCTTTCCTGGAAGAGCACCACTCTCTCCACCTGTAGTGTGGGCCTCCTCAGTGCCCCTCTCCGTACCATTCTTTATTCTTTGTCTCCTGCCCCTTCGCTCATTCCTTTCTCTGGTTTTGCTTTTCAAATATACACATCTGTCTCACCTTGGAAAAAGGTCTACCACAGGTCACACATTTGGTAGTATTAACAGGTGGTCCTGAGTGGGCCTTAAGTTCACCACACTCCAGCAGGCACTGAGGTTAGGAGAGTTTGCGTGTGTGTGTTGTTTAAGTTTCCACGTAATTGTTCTTACGCTCACAGCACTCGCATGCATTATATCTCACCAGATTTACAGGTTGGACACATTAAGGCGCAAAGAAGTCAGGTGACACACTTCGAATCAGAGCCTGAGGCAGGGCAGTGACACATGTTGAACAGCTGCTGTGTTAGACACAGACCTGAGTGCTTCCTATATATGAGCTCATTTAATTCTTACCACAACCCTGAAAGGTAGGTGTTACCAGTCATATTTTTATAGATGGTGACACTGAGATTCATAACACTTAAGTAACTTGCCCAGAGTCAGAGCTAGTGAGAAGAAGAGCTGGGATTAGAACATGGCCCCAGAGCCCATGTTCTTAACGACTTGTCCCTTCCTGGGAGCTGGGTGGTGTGTGTTATTGTTAACATCTGAACTCCGGGCCAGCTTAAATTTATTCTGTTAGAAATTTGAAATCCTCAGAATGCTTCCAAGCTATGACAGTTACTTTCTTTAGTACTTTGTAAACATACAAAATACTGTATGGGCTAAATATTACAGCACCCATGTCAGCATCCTCTAAATTATGTAGTGATCATGCATACTAATTTTACAGTAATAGAGGGAGCCATGGAAGAATCTTTTTAATTTTTAAAATAAATTTATTTATTTATTTATTTTTGGTTGCATTGAGTCCATGGAAGAATCTTTGTTAATAAACCTATTCCATATGTTGGACTTGAAATGTATTTCATTATGAATTAAGGTATGACTTAACATTAGGATGAAATCCAAGGTAGAGGGCAAGGGCAAAAAGGTAATTTCATGGCAGATCAGTGAGGTGTCTGGCTAAGTCCATACATGTGTCCTGGGTACTCAAAATAGTTAAACATCAATGATCAGGCACCATTAGGTAAATAGGCAACAACAGAGAGTCCTGTGTGGGAGGAAGAGGGGTTCCTTCCTCTTTCCAAAGTGAGGCCCTTCACCTGTTCTAACTCTTCCAGCTTTTGACTCATAGTTACTCCCACTATTCCTTCCCCCTGCTCCCTTCCTTTAATATTGCCACCCCCATTCAGTCCCATACTGTCTTTAAACATCATGACAGTTGTAATTAACATGTACTGAGTTTTTCCCAGGCACTGGACACTGCTCAGAGCTTTACAAACATCTTGTCTATTTAATCTTCTGCTGAGTGCTTTTTTTTAACATCTTTATTGGAGTATAATTGCTTCACAATGGTGTGTTAGTTTCTGCTTTATAACAAAGTGAATCAGCTATACATATACATATATCCCCATTTCTCCTCCCTCTTTTGTCTCCCTCCCACCCTCCCTATCCCACCCCTCTAGGTGGTCACAAAGCACTGAGCTGATCTCGCTGTGTGTGCTATGTGGCTGCTTCCCACTAGCTATCTGTTTTACATTTGGTAGTGTATATATGTCCATGCCATCCTCTCACTTTTTCCCAGCTTACCCTTCCCCCTCCCCGTGTCCTCAAGTCCATTCTCTACATCTGTGTCTTTATTCCTATCCTGCCCCTAGGCTCTTCAGAACCATTTTTTTAAGATTCCATATATATGTGTTAGCATACAGTATTTGTTTTTCTCTTTCTGACTTACTTCACTCTGTATGACAGACTCTAGGTCCATCCACCTCACTACAAATAACTCAATTTCGTTTCCTTTTATGGCTTAGTAATATTCCACTGTATGTATGTGCCACATCTTCTTTATCCATTCATCTGTCAGTGGACACTTAGGTTGCTTCCATGTCCTGGCTACTGTAAATAGAGCTGCAGTGAACATTGTGGTACATGTCTCTTTTTGAATTATGGTTCTCTCAGGGTATATGCCCAGTAGTGGGATTGCTGGGTCATATGGTAGTTCTATTTTTAGTTTTTTAAGGAACCTCCGTACTGTTCTCCATAGTGGCTGTATCAATTTACATTCCCACCAGCAGTGCAAGAGGGTTCCCTTTTCTCCACACCCTCTCCAGCATTTATTGTTTGTAGATTTTTTGATGATGGCCATTCTGACTGGTGTGAGGTGATACCTCATTGTAGTTGTGATTTGCGTGTCTCTAAGGATTAGTGCTGTTGAGCATTCTTTGATGTGTTTGTTGGCAGTCTGTATATCTTCTTTGGAGAAATGTCTGTTTAGGTCTTCTGCCCATTTTTGGATTGGGTTGTTTGTTCTTTTGTTATTGAGCTGCATGAGCTGCTTGTATATTTTGGAGATTAATCCTTTGTCAGTTGCTTCGTTTGCAAATATTTTCTCCCATTCTGAGGGTTGTCTTTTCGTCTTGTTTATGGTTTCCTTTGCTGTGCAAAAGCTTTTAAGTTTCATTAGGTCGTATTTGTTTATTTTTGATTTTTGTTTTTTATTTCCATTTCTCTAGGAGGTGGGTCAAAAGGGATCTTGCTGTGATTTATGTCATAGAGTGTTCTGCCTATGTTTTCCTCTAAGAGTTTTAGTGTCTGGCCTTACATTTAAGTCTTTAATCCATTTTGAGTTTATTTTTGTGTATGGTGTTAGGGAGTGTTCTAATTTCATTCTTTTTCATGTAGCTGTCCAGTTTTCCCAGCACCGTGCTAAGTGTTTTTTATTATCCTTTATTTAACTCTTGCAACCACTCTATAAGGTAGATGCTATTATTATTTGCTCCCCTGGTGTGCCAGAAAACCTCCAGGTTGGTCACAACTCTTTCTGGGCTCAGCATGTAAGGGAAACTTCACCCACATGATAGCCAAGAAGTGTCAAAGAAGACAGAAAAGTCAGAAGAAACCAAGACATCTTGGACCACTAGATGATTCCTGGCAGGAAAGGTAAGGCCCTGGGTGATATCCCTTCCCCTTAACAAATCTGAATCTCTGGGCCTACTGAAATTCTGTATGCCTGACGTACAGTGTGGCATTTGCAGGGATTCAGGGGGGCACCTCAGGTAGGATACCCAGGGCAAACTTAAGACATCTAAGGAATGTTGGTGGAAATGCTTTGTGATTGCAGAAAATGTTCTCCTTGCCTTTATGTGTGTTTTTGGCAGAAAGAGAATATTAAACTGGGACCTTGTGTCTCAAAAGGTCCAGGACAGGTATACTGAAAACCAGGGACTTAGAGATGAGATGAATTAGAAATGAATAGTCCCACCGCAGCCATGCAAACACAAATATACCTCATTTTATGCAACAACTGTATTTTCTAAATCAAATTATATTTTAAAAGTGTTAGGGAGGTGAGCTATTTAAAGGAACGCAACAGTGAAGCCTTTTTATAATATGATTAATTACCTCCTGATAAATCTGGATTTTTCTTATATTAGGTTTGCCCATCTGTTCGGCTTTGTTAAGTAGACAGCACCAAAATGGGCTCTCCTCCCAGACTCCATCTCCCCAGGGGCCTGAGAGTTAGGTCTTCTGAATGATAAGTAAAATGCCAGAGCAAATGGTGGCAGGGAGTACTTATGCGTAGTAGGTGCTCAGTACATATTTAGATAATGAATGAGGTGCCTGGATTATTTTATTCAAGGCTGGCTGATGTTGTGATGCCACTCTGGAGGCTGAGCCATGAAGAACAGCTCAAGGTAGGTACCCAGCTTAAGTCTTCACTCCTCCATTCTATCAGGTGCTAGACTTGTAGGAAGCTTGGCTGAACAGGTCTACCCAGATGCCCCAACGTGTCCTTAAACTCAATATGCTAATGACTCTGAAATTTTCACTTTAGGCCAGTTATGTCTTCCAAACTCTAGAGCCTTATATCCGAATGCCTGTTTCCTTTCTTCCTTGCTTTTTTTGGGGGTTATTCTTATAGCTCTGTGTGTGTGAGTAGCAAGTGTTCTTGCTGCTTCATATATAGCTGCACTTTCCAACACAGTAGCCACTAGCTACATGTGGCTATTTAAATTTAAATACAGTCAATTCTGCTCTAATGCTTGTTTTGAAAATGAAAATTTGTTCCAACAGATTGATGTGTTAGGGAACAATTTGAACAAAATGCAGATTTCATGTTTGCTTAGGAGTGATTCTGTCCACGAGAAACATGAGATGAAAGGGGATCTGTACCCGGCCAAACTGAGCTGCATAAGAATTTGTAAAATGAGCGCCCACACACATCTCCCAGCTCCCTCAGATCACTGAGTGTGGTATGAGCCACACCCATTCACATCTGCTGTGAGAACTTTCTGTTCCACCCCCATAATCCTCCTTTCACCACCTCATGATAACTCATAAGTGGACAGCCACTTCCACAAGCAAGTTTCAGGTCTTTGTCAGGGTAATGAGCCATCATTATTGTAGTGTTTATACATGGCCTAACCATTTAACATGTGCAAAACTTTTCTATGTTTATTAATTTCCTACTTTTTTTGTGTGTGTTACTGATAAATTTTTGGAATGTGTGTGCCCAACCCCATTTTCCCATGAGCCCTGAGCCCTGTGATTTCTTTTGAGTAATTTTGTGTAGTATGGTTTAGGAATGCTTGTGTCACGTGATAGCAGAGCCGACTGTTAATTAAAATGAAATAAAATTAAAAATTCGTTTCCTCAGTCACATGAGTCACATTTCAAGTGCTCAGTAGCCCCCTGTAGCTAGTGTAGGCTGCCATATTACATAGAACATAACCAATAGAGAACATTTCCATTATCACAGCAAGTTCTACTGGACAGCACTAACATATAGCTGGAATGTTCAGTCTGAAAGGTCAGATGAAATGGTGAGCTTACACAAGAGCTCACTTGACCTTTTCCCAGTACCTCATTAGGTCTGTTGCTGTTCCATCATTCTGAGTTCCTTATCTGCTGAGACCATGACCCAAGAATCCGTGGGACAACCTTCTCTTATCCTGTTTGTTTTCTATTCTTTGAGGTGATACTGCAGAAGTCTTTTGTTTCACTGGTTATATTCTTTTGCAGGTGAAATTTGAAGCTCAGAAGAAAATTTTACAGAGACTAGAATCTTACCTACAAATGCTCAATGGAGTCAATGTGACAACAGCTGCACCCAGATCTGAGGGCCTCTGTTGTTTTCTCCATCCTATTATACCTTCTGTAAACCCCTACTTCCCTATCCTTTATCTACCAAGTCTCCTTAATAGCTAATACTATCAGCCAATACTTAACCAGGCACTTGCTGGGGACCAGGCCCTATGCTAAGTGAGTAACATGTATCATTGTCTTGTTTACTATTTACAGTCACACTGAGGGATAGACAGTGTCATTTTACAGATGACTACTTGAGGCTCAGAGAGATTAAGTGATTCGACCAAGGACACACATCTAGAAAGTGCCAGAGCTAAGGTTTACACTCAAGTTGATCTGATGCAGAGCCCACTTTCTCAACCAGTACGCTACTGCCTCCTTAGAAAGATTCCAGACTTTGGAAAACTTCTAATGAGGCCGCAGAAAGGCAGAATTTAATTTGTGGCAGAGGTTGGCAAACTATGGCCCTGAGGCCACATCTGCTCTGCTGCTCGGCTTTGTAAATAAAGTTTTATTGGAACACAGCTGAGCTCACTTGTTTATGGATTGTCTATGGCTACTTTTGCACTACAGTGGCAGAGTTGAATAGTTGTGACAGGGACCGTATGGCCTGCAAAGCCTAAAATGATTTACTGTCTGGCCCTTTATTGAAAAAGTTTTCTGACTCCTGCTTTATGGCAAGATTGGAACTGCTTTCTCCTATGGAGTGTCTATGGAGTGTTTTGATCTTCTCAGTCATGGAATTTCACCTATGCCATACCTTCCAAGCAAGCATCATTTATTTTTTCTCATCCAGAGAACATTCTTTCATTCTTTGTATTGTCCTCCTTGGTTTTATTTGACCTGTTGTCCCTCTCCTGTCCTTCTGCCTTCTCCAGCCTGTCATCAGTGGCTACCGAAATAAGTCCACCTTCTCTGTGAACTGAGGTCCAGATGGCAATCCAAAGACTGTGGGGTACTACCTGGGAACTTGGAGAGGTCAGTCGAAGGCTGTGACTAGTAGAAATAACCAAACAAAAACTGAGAGGAAAGGGGAGGGTGCAGAGAACAGTGTCTGTGGGAGTAGAGAGGAGTGGGAAATATGGTGGCTCTAAAGGAGAAAGTTGAATTGGAAGCCTTTGATGCAGAGCATGATCACAAGATTAATTGGAGATGTGGTATATATATACACAATGGAATATTGCTCAGCTACAAAAAATGAAATAATGCCATTTGCAGCAATGTGGACCTAGAGATTATCATATTAAGTGAGGTAAGCCAGACAGAGAAAAACAAATATATCATTTATATGTGGAATCAAAAAAAAATGATACAAATGAACTTACTTGCAAACCAGAAATAGACCCACAGACATAGAAAACAAACTTATGGTTACCAAAGGGGAAAGTGGGGGAGGGATAAATTAGGAGTTTGGGATTAACATACACTACTGTAACATACACTATAAATCCATACAGTGGATTTATACACTACTATATATAAAATAGATGACCAACAAGGGCCTACTGTATAGCACAGGGAACTGTACTCAATATTTTGTAATAACCTATAAAGGAAAAGAATCTAAAATATATATATATATGTGTATATGTATATATATACATATAAAACTGAATCACTGTGCTGTACACCTGAAAGTAACACAACATTGTAAATCAACTATACTTCAATTTAAAAAAAGGCATTAAAAAATAAGATTAATTGGGGATACTTTTTGGTGAGTAGTCATTGTATTATAGTGCTAGGAATCAACCTCCCCGCCCCCCAGCTTTCTTCCTCTAAAAGCCATATGCCTGAGACCTAGTAAGCACTTCATAAATATTGATGCTGGTGCTGCTGGTCTCATTATCATCATTGTTGTCAACATCGTCGTCATCATCATTGTTATCATTTTATGTTACTTTCTGTACTGGGAGCAGTCTCCTGCTTATTAGAGACATGCCCTTTCTATTTCACATCCCCATATCCCTGAAAATTAAGAGCTTTCTGCGATAAATCTGCCTTAAAAGAACTGGTAGGGGAGGTGAGTGCTGGTGAGAGAAATCACAGTGGCATATTTCTGAGACTTAATTCCAGTATCCATTCCCAGATTCTATTCCTGAACTTACCATTTGCCCATTTTCAATAAATCCACTTGAAACACCATCATTTTATATTAGTTACACTGTTTAATATCCATATGCCTTAAACTACAGTTCATTAGGGTAGGCACTTGGCTTTCTTTTTTTCCCCTGTGTGCTGAATTAAATGAGTATATGACGTCAGTGTTCTGTTATTCACTAACAGAAAAACAAAACCCATTACATTTTACTTCCCTCTTAAAATCTGAACAGAAAGCAGACATTATCATATTGCACATTTGTGGCATGAAAGAAAATATTGCGGACTAGCTCCATTAAGAATAAGCTTTTTAATGGCCAGACCAGGAAACAGGTTTTCTCTGAAAAATGGCCTTGAGCATGAATTAGGTACTTTGCTTCTTCATATTTGCATATGCCTCTTTGGATTAGGGGATTTGAGTTGCTAGACATTTTATTCTAAATAATCTTTTAGGAAGAAAACCATGTAAATCAAATTCTTTTTCTTTCCATAGACAGGAACATGGTCTGTGTACGGTCTAACCATCTGAAAAACATCCCCAAGAAACACAGTCAAGTGGCACAGGTAATAAGGAACAAAGGCTGGTTGAAGATGACCCCAGGCATTGCAGTCTATAACGGCAGCATGCCTGATATTTTAATCATAGAGCTCTTCTAGTGCTACAGGGGAGGAGGGGTTCTGTTCTGAAAGTGTACTTCTTAACGGTGGAGAGAACATTGCTAGTGTTTCATTTCAGAGAGGGTGGAGAGGAGGAGAGAGAACTGCAGCCATTATTGCAAATGTCTAGCATCCAAGGAATTTAATACAAGGGAAATTTAGGACAGAGAGATACTGATAAGGGCAGGATAGCAAGTGGCAGGTGTCTGTATTTGGAAGGCTAGTGTTTTCAGCAGAACAGGGTTGAAACATATCATGAGAGATGTGGGAATGGGCGTAAGGCATCTACATCATTAGATTGGCCTCTGAGACATTTTAGTATCCCTCTATTTCATGTACCCACTATTTATTGAGTACCTACTATGTGTCAGGCACTGGACTAGGTGCTGGGGATCCAGTGGTGATTCAAACAAACATGGTGCCTGCCCTCCTGGAACTTAAAAGAAAAAGGCAAAAGAAACAGGACTTCCAAATGACATACTTGTTCCCTGTTTATACTTACAGCACCCATCCTCCTAATGATTCAGCTTTCTGACACTTGGGTGGTGCCTTCTCATAGGACACATCTTGACCTCAAAGATTTCCTGGCTAGAACACAGCTCCCATCATAGGATCATTCTCTGGAAATCTTCCTGCATGACCCTTGTCAGCTTCTTCTCCCATTGTCTTCAGTGACTATTCCAAACTCTTACCTCTCCTCGAATTTCCTATCCCATCACATTTACCCTTGCTCTTGACAGATGGCTGTGCCTGGTTCTTCACTGGAAAATTAAGACCAACAGATGAGGATTCCCTTAGCTGCTTCCCCTACCATCTACCAATTTCGCTGAAATCTTACCCCTCCTTTCCCTCCTATCTCAGTGAAATGCTGTTAGTCTTCTACCTGTCCAAGGCTATTCTTCCTTGAAACACCATCTTGGACTCATCTCCTCTCTCCCCAGGTCCCTTATTCCTTTGTTACATTCCCTCTTTCTCCCATTTCTTTACCTACTTTCCTCCACCTCTACCGGCTCTTTTCTTTCATAAACATATTCAATTAAAAAAAATCTGATGGTTCTTGCTTCTGCCCCCAACAATTCCTAGAAATTAATCTTGCCAAATTCATCAGTGAGCTCTGTTTTGCCAAATTAAATGGAAACTTTCTGCCCCTAACTTACTCAACTTTTCTCTGCCTTTGGTACCACTTATTAGTCTTATTTTCCTCCTTGGGAACACTGTCTTTGTTTGGTTTCTGTGATACCATTCTCTGATGGTTTTCCTCCTATTTCGCTGGCCACTTCTTAGTCGTTCTCATGGGATCTTTTTCTCCCTTTCTTTCCCACGATAAGTGTTGGTGTCCTCCAGGACTCTGTCCTTGGCCTTCTTTTTGAATATATTCATGGGAGATTACACACCACTATAGCTGATGATTGGAATGACCACCTGTAAATTGACAACTCCTAAACTTATATTTGCATACCAGCTCCATCTTGAGCTTCAGGAGGTGGGGTTCCAAAGGCTACCGAACATCCTCACCTAGTTTTCCTGTAGAGCTCTTCAAATCAGCATTGGCCCAGATCCAGATTTCTCAACCTTCGCACTATTAACATTTTGGGTTGGATGGTTATTTATTGTGTGGGGCTATTAGGTGCACTGGAGGATGTTTAGCAGCATCCGTGGCCTCTGCCCCTAGAGGCCATGAGTTGTGACAACCAAAACTGCCTCCAGATATCTCTTGTGGGGCACAATCACCTCCGGTTGAGAACCATTGCCCTAAACTAAATTTACCCTCTTCCCTTTCCAAATGTGCCCTTTTTTCTCACGTTAGTAAATGGTAGCAACGTGTACTAGAAACATATGTCCTCTTAGACTCCTCTGTCTTAATCCTACCACTTCCTCCTCAGCCACATATAATAAATCTCCACGTCCTTTCAGTTTTCCTTTCTTTTTTTTTTTGTTTTCTTATTTATTTTGTTCAGTTTTCCTTTCTAAAAATACTTTGACTCTACCCTCTTCTTTCTATTTCCACCACCATCATCACCACTCCAGTCCAAGCAACTGGTCTCTAGCATCTGTATTGTTATGACTGTAGATATTCACTCCTGAGCCAAGTAGATGTACTAAGATTTTGTTTCCTTTATTGTACTGTTTTTTTCTTTCATTTTATGTTGTGGAAAATTACAAACGTGTAAAAGTATAGAATGGTATAACAAACCCCATGTACCCATTACCCAGCTTCAGTAACTATCAACACATGGCCCATCTTGCTTTCACTATACTCTCACCCACTTTCCACCAGCCCCTTTGGATTTGTTTGAGGCAAATTCCAGACATTATATCATATAAGATATAAATACCACAGCATGAGTTTTAACAGAAAGGACTTAATTTTTTAACATAGTTTCATACCATTGTCACACCTGCAAATAAACATTTATCCCATAATATCATCAACTACCTAGTAAATGTTCAGATTAGGCACTTTTATCTCATAAAAAGCTTAATTGATATAGTTGGCTTGTTCAAATCAGGATTCAAACAAGGTATATACATTGCATTTGATTAACATGTCTCTTTAGCCTCTTAATTTTTAAGTACCCCTCCCTATTAATTTTTTTGTCCCTACAATTTACTTTTTGAAGAAACTGGTTTGTTTTCCTCTGGAGATTCTCCCATTCTGGATTTTGCTGATTGAATCCCCTTGATATCATTGAATGTTCTTCCTCTATCCCCTGTATTTCCTCTAAGCTGGTAGATCTAGAGTGTTGATCAGATTCAGGTTTGATTTTTGGCAAGAATGTTTTTATATGTAGATGTCTAATGGGCTCTCTTTTTTGGTGATGTTAACATTGAACAGCGGATTCAGGTGTCATCAGTCTGATTCACTCATTGAAAAGTTCCCTGTCAGCTTTTCGCTTAATGGTTTAGCTGTCATTAGTGATCAGTGCCTAGATCTCTTATTTTGGGGGGGGGGGGGTTGCAATGCAGTTCTGTTCTAAATCTATTATTTATTAGCTGGAATTCTTCTAGAAATAACTTTTCCCTATCAACCCTTTGGTTACTCTAAGGTACTCTTACAGGAAAGGCAGGATAAATCCTTGGTTCTTTCACCTTCCTCAAAAGATGATCAGTTAATTTGTTTGTTTTGGTATCATTAGGAACTCATAGATTTTTAACATACTTGATATGTTTCAATCTACTGCCGATACTAGGGGTTTTTTGGTACTCCAGTTACTCCATTTTTGGCCAATTGGAACCTCTTTAAATTGGCTGTGGGACCTAGATGGCCGTGATAGTTCTGGAATGATAAGATATTTCTAGCACATCTAGTCCATTTTATGCCTGGGAGCTGGAATCAGCCGTTTCTTTTTTTTTTTTTTTGCGGTACGCGGGCCTCTCACTGTTGTGGCCTCTCCCATTGTGGAGCAAGGCTCCGGACGCGCAGACTCAGCGGCCATGGCTCACGGGCCCAGCCGCTCCGCTGCATGTGGGATCTTCCAGGACTGGGGCACGAACCCGCGTCCCCTGCATCGGCAGGCGGACTCTCAACCACTGCGCCACCAGGGAAGCCCTCAGCCGTTTCTTTAAGGAATCCTTGTCTCTGTTAGTGGGAAATGGCAGGGTGCTAGGTGCGTGCTTATTTATACTGAGTTGGTCATATTTCAATGCCTTTTTAGTGGACAGAGCTAGGAAATATTTTTTAAAAGAAAATATATCATGAGTTCACAGTAATATGTCCAAATCAAATTAAAAATTATAGAGTTTTTACTTAAATCCTTTGATTTTATATTTTTATCTCTTGTCTCTTACAATTAAAACTTTAGTCCTGACAACATTAGAATACTTACAATTGACCCTTGAACAAGGCCATGGTTAAGGGCGCCAACCCCTGTGCAGTCGAAAATCCACTTCGTATCTGTGGTTCCACATCTGTGGATTCAATCAGCCATGCGTCATGTAGTACTGTAGTACACGTTTAGTGAAAAAAACTTCATATAAGTGGACCTGTGCAGTTCAAACCCATGTTGTTCAAGGGTCAGCTGTACTTATTTATTCCATCCTACTCTTTACATATAATTTCAGAACAACAATACTAGTATTATTACTAACAAATGATTACTGAAAAGAGCTCAAGATTTCTGTCCAGTTCTTTTTGTCCAATTATTGTGGCTCTGAAGGAATTCATCTCTTTGTAGTTACACCACCAACTTGACATGATACATGGATTCTTTTTTTTTCTTCATTCTTGCTTTCAAATTTTAGGGATTGATTTTTTTCTTTTTCCTTTTGATTAAATTTTTGTTTTATAATTTTGTAAGATATTTACATGGTTTCAAAGTCATATCTACAAAATAAAGGTGTATTTTCTTTTTGTTTTGTTTTTTGGCCGCGCCACATGCAGGATCTTAGTTCCCTGACCAGAGATTGAACCCGCCCCCCCTGCAGTGGAAGTGCAGAGTCTTAACCACTGGACCTCCAGGGAAGTCCCATAAAGGTGTATTTAAAGAGGTCTAGTTTTCACTTCTGTCCCCTCTGCCCAGTTCCCTTCCTCCTTCTATGGGTAACATTTTTATTCACTTTTATTTATTTTAAAAAGTGGAAACATATTTGTATCTCCCCTTTTCTTAGCTAAAAGGTAGCTTAATATGGACACAGTTCTGTACCTTTTTTCCACATAATAATATGCTTCATTTTTTTAATATTTACAATTGTTATATCTTCTTGGATTGATCCTTTGATCATTTTTTTAACATCTTTATTGGAGTATAATTGCTTTACAATGGTGTGTTAGTTTCTGCTGTATGCTTCATTTTAAAAAAATAACTGCTTAGTCCTATGTAATATGATGGATTTTACAACTTTTAGTTTTCATTGGCTTGAATAATTACCTAATTTTCTCATTGGCTTAGTTTTCTCTGAACCTATTG